AGCATGACCTGCTAATTGTCAATTAACCAATCACCTATCACAATATACAGGAAACAGATGGCCCCAAGTGATAAACTAAATATTTGTATACAATTTACAATTATTATAAATACAGGAAATAATTATTTCATTTCTTGATTTTAATAATTAGAACAAACAGATAAACATTTAACTGTTTCATCAATCAGACAAGCTTAGTTTTAGATTTAATTATCATATTGTGTTACTGTTTCAAAGGCAATGTTTTAAGTTCAAATGAATTACATATCCAAAATTTATATTAAATATACTTCTGTACATATTCCTTGGCCTGAAATCAATGTAATTTATTTACCCTCCCTAATGTCTACCCATAAAAATCAAAGCTATCCAAAAACTTTTAAAGCAGCATGTCTCCAGATTCATGCTTATTTTAATGAAAATTTTAAAAATGTATTTAAAATAAAAATATTGTGAAGTGAACAAAGAACATAATTTACACATTGCAAACAGCACTTGCAATCCACATAATTTACCAAACAGAGATGAAAATAAGCAAAAATAGCCCTTACTGCATTACCAACACAGTATAAATATGGTGACTTATACTGCAAAATCAGTCCTTAATCACACATAACATGTAAATTATTATTTGAATCTTTTTATTTTTCTAAAAATCCTAAATTTTTCTCAAGTTTAATTATTTTTTTTAATATTTTAGCTCATCTGAAGGCATGCAGCTTTCGCAGCTCAATAAACTAAATTGAGACCTTTTTTATAAATCATGGAAGCAGTCTTTCAATGTGAATCATTTTGGCGTAAAAAAAAAATTGTCTTGTGTTTTTGCATGGTAAATACTAACTCAGTCAGATTTATAATATTGAAAAAGCTTTGGATCTAAATTTTGAACAGATCCTTCACAGTGCCATTATTTGAAACCCATAAGTTAAAAAGGATTTATTCTAACATCATGCATAAACAACACTGAATTAATTTTATTGTATATAAACCACACAACAATCAGGGAATTATTTACCTGTTTTTCTTTTGCCATTAGTCAAGCAATTATGAAACATGACAGTTGATGTTTTAAAATATTTGTAGAAATTTAAGTTTTAACTATATGTCTAAAAGTAACATTGAAAAAGAATATGTATGTAAAAGTAATGTTTGGACATCATTTTGCTTGACTATCTAAACTCTTATAACAATGCTTGAATACTGGTGCCATGTGTACAGTCATATACATAATTGTGCCGCGCCATGACAAAACCAACATAATGGGTTTGTGACCAGCATGGATCCAGACCAGCCTGCGCATCCGCGGAGTCTGATCAGGATCCATGCTGTTCGCTATCAGTTTCTCTACTTGGAATAGGGTTCGTAAGCGAACAGCATGGATCCAGATCAGACTGGTCTGGATCCATGCTGGTCGCAAACGCATTATGTTGGTTTTGTCGTGACGAGGCTCATATAATCAAAGTGTTTAGGTCAGGTTCAATATCTATATACAGTAAACCGTAGTGTCATTTGTTGTAAAATACACTGTTACAAGTCTGATACCATTATTCAAGCCATAGAGTAAATCAAGTTAATCAACATGTGACTTTTACATGTCTAAAAAAAATAAATAAAACAAATAAAAGGGAGACTACTCTACCATTAGCAGGAAAAGAGTTGGAAGGATTTGGTGTGCCCTGGGAGCGCTGTGGAGAATCTCTGGCACCATCTGCAACTAGTTTGAAGAAAAGAGCGGCATCACGATGAGAACTTGACTCTAACAGGGTGAAATAAAAACCAGGAAAACACTTTCACTCTAAATGATTTTCCAAAATGAAATTACTGATTTGTTTTGGGATAAAAAAACACATAAAATGAAAATTACTTTAAATAGAAGATATTTTTGAAGATTTCCCATAGATTTATTTATTCAATATATCTAAAATTTCTATCAAAATAGTGAAATATCTATATTATTTATAATTTCATGCTGTGTGCAGGCAAAGGCAAAAGATACTGAAAAGCACCATTTTTTTTCCAATAAATCTATTATTTTCACTGTAATATTTCTACTGACAAACTTCTGCTGGTGTCAGCTGCAGGCATTTGAAGCATTAGCAAGAAACAAATAATAAAGGATGCATCAGAGAGGCACACCAAGAAATGATTTTCAACAAGAAAGATAGATAAAAAGAGAGTAATAAAAAACAAATTCTATATATCATTTTATGGGAACCAAAATATTTCAATTGATAATGCTTTTGAAAGTTTTTCAGCTTTTTTATTTGTTTCACATTCATTAGGAATTAATTTACCAGAAATACATGCAGACACACACTAACTAAATCACAGTTTTCAAACTTAAAAAAAAACTTTTCCAAATAAAGCAAATAGAAAATGAAATGTTAACCAGCCTTAACTTTAAAATCAAACAATATACAAAAAAGCAAGCCAAGTCAATTTTGATAAGAGGACAGTGAAGAGTTACTAAACATTCAGCTGGGAAAATAATCCGTCTTTTGGTGGGTACTTAGAAGAAAATGTTTACAGGTTTTTCTTCTATGTTTAGCTCTGGTGATCCAAGAAAAGGACCAACTGGTATTATATATATATATAATTTGCAAATAAGGCAACCATAAGCAAGCTTAACAGCAAAAGTGAAATATGACCAGTAGTTTCTCAGATGTTAACCCAACTACCAAACTAATATGTCACATCAAACTGTCATTTTCTAGAGTAAAATGTGCTTAAACATGCTATCAAATGCTTTTTTAAGAATCCCTATTTATTAAGAAATTCTATCATGGACACATCTGCACTTTCACATACTTAAAAAAATGTAAACAGTACAACAGCAAGGCAACATACAACATTAAACACTGCATGCTAGAAAGAGGGATCACTAATTTTTAATAAAGATTGCAGAATAAAATATTTGTTAATGCTACTATTATACATTCATGACAACTGCAATAAAGCAGAAAACAACACCAAACACTTCCTTACACTATATCATTATGTTAATATAGCATTATAAAACTAGATACTACTTAGAAAGGCTAGAGGCAACAATTTTTCAAATTCTAACTTTAACTGACAGTTAAATTTCTTTAATGCTAAATTTGATTTTGCCATAATTCCAACATGCTGATATCTAATTACCACTTTTTCTCTTTAAGACATCAGGGAAGTCATCTGGCAGTTTCATGTCCATGGCATCACCAAGCAAGAGGGACTGCAGCATTTCTGTAAGGTTGATCTGGCTTTCAGAATCCAAATCTAAGGCTGGTTGAATGAATCTATCCCGTGATTTGTCCTGAACACCACATCCCAACAGGGCTAGCAGAAGCTTTGAAATGACAGATATAAATTTAATATTGATATCTAATCGAATATGATGTGAGGAAGAAAAAAATAATAAAAATTCACAAGTGCAGAACAGAAGTTATCTAGTTTTTCCTATCTTAATTTCTAGCTAGTCTTTATTGTTATTTATTTCACAGTGTACTTACTGTTATTATTATACAACAACAACAACATGTTATTATTGATATTTTTTAAAAGGCAATATAAGGTAACACAATCTGTAGAGCAAATTTCATTTTTAATAAAGACTGTTTGTTAATGTCACATTGCTTTCTGATTACTAGTAAGTATAGATGAAAAGTTTTTATATAACATACATGTAGAATTATTATTTTTAATATCAATGTTATATTTCGGCAGTAAACTTACATTCTTATTTTACAAACATTTCTAAAGCCATCCTACCAATTAAGAAACCCTAACCTATTAAATAATCATTAGAACCATGGCATATTTTAATGTGCATGAACACTTATAGTAAAATACATCACCGGGTACTTAAATAAACTAACCTTTCCCATTTCTAGTTCAAATACATCCCCTCTAACTTTGCCTGCCAGTATTGAGAAATCGATCATCATCTTATCTTCAAATGTTTGGTGATAGCAACCTGATTATGAGATACAAAATTATTGATAAAAACAAAGCAGCTTTATGCTTGTACATGTAGATGATATAGAGGATATTTGTTTAGTTCAGTGTAAGATTGGGATATATTTCACCGAGTGAGCACCAAAAGTTATATTTCATGAGTGGCGCATATGAACTTTTGGTGTTCACGAGGTGAAATATATTTCGATGTTACACTACACAAAACAAATTTTCTTTTACTAAATGAAAAGGGCCCCAAATGATAATACAACTTGACGTAATTTATGACGTCAAGTCATTAAGTTGGTTTCCAGTTAGTACTGTGCACGCTGGTATTTCACTAAAACAACGTAAGGGGCTTAAATTCAAAACAGAGAAATTATCAAATTGATAATTTCGCTGTTTAAAACAGTGAAATTATCAGCTTTATATGTCACTGATATATTTCTATAAACCACTGAAAAGCATGTAATAAAACATTTTGTAAGTCTTATGTCCAATCAGAAAATTTGGACAGTTTAAAAACAACAACATTATTTCTTAAACAAGCTTTATCTATCAAGAAGCATAGCAAGTGAATATAGATTCCTATTAAAATCTTCTTTATTAGTTTATATTCATTACTTTTGATTGATCAGAAAATATGACTTAACATTATAATGTATAAAACGTCTTATTAGGACTCAATTTCTTGCATAATGTGGCTTTGTCTGTCAATCAATAAATCAACTAAATAAGAGTAAAGACTTCATGATATTATCGAGTACTTTAGTAGTCAAGGACTATAAAATGGAATATTTAGATTATTATTATGCAATAACACCTCCAGCTTACCTTCTAGGTATGTCTTGACAACAGCTAACCTCTTCTCAAAACTAGACAGGTCAACCTCTTCAGGTAATAGGTCACTGCAACAAAATTATAAATTATGTAGTCTACAAAGCATTTTACACTTACAGCACTCCTAATATGTTTTTTATCTGTTATGAATCTAGAGTATGAGAGAGAAAATTTCAGGTAAAGAAATTAATTATTAACAGTCTTCATAAGCTAATTTTGAAAAACTTACCAAGTGCACATAATGTCTGTAATGACTTGTACATCTCTGAGGTCTTCAAAGTTCTTTATTGACTTTACACTAAGGGCATCAAACTGTCAAAGTATAATATAAACATTATCAGTTTCATTGGCATAAGGTAAAACTATAACATACTTAAAATGAAAATCAAGCTATAATCTTACAATAAAGTTTAGCATAGAACCATTGCATGTAACCAAATGTATGATGAATGCTGATAAAAGTTGACAAAAGAATACATAAATGTTTGTTATCTATTATTTGTTTATGGATTAAAGTCACTCATTTGATGTCAAATTCACTTTGCACACAAATAACTATTTAATTTAATAAGAAAGATTAGATAATTGCTTACTTTTTCTTTTTAATTATTTCAATTGACATTAAGCAAAACTTACCCATTTCAGAAGAGAAACTTTCTTATTGAGATCCATTCTGCCTAAGACCAATGACATCAGCAGATTACTTCAGATTTGTATCAGCTATAAAATAAAATATAAACAAAAAATACTATACAAAATTTGATCAAAATAGCAAAACATATGGACAACAAAAGAAGTTAACATATATGATATTGTTACCCTAAATAAAAATATCATTCATGGATGGCCATGAATGAGTTGTAAAGTATCTAGACAGCTGGTAGCAGTGGTTAGGTATGTATAGCTACTGCTTGCCAAAATTTTTAGATATATGTGAGTCATGCAGGACTAGCCTATATGCACTGCTTTGGCTAGCCGTACGGCTACAGATTATGAATACAGATACAGAATACAGATTATGCAAACTTGTGTTTCTGAAAGAAAATGTTACTGAATATCATGAAAACTTTATCATTACAGTTGGTATTTTAATGTTTAGCTTTTGATGATTAGTAGTTTTTTCCTCTGAAAATCACCTTGGAGTTAAATAATCAAATATCAAAAACTGAAAAATTATTAAATAATTTCTAAGACTATGGACAAATTAGATGTTATTATTGGTAATATAACATGTGGGTCAATTTCCAGCAAAGTATTTAACAATTATAACTTTTAAATTACACTTGAACACGTTTAGCGGCATTGAGAATTTCAAGCTAGACCTTGAGTAGATGTGTGTGACCCACGCAAGGCTATAACTTTAGGCTAGCAATATGTCATAGTAAATATTTGTAAAAGCGACATATAAAGTTATGGAAGTCAGATCCACTGGAGCTCCTGTGGCCAGAACTTTCATAGAATAACAGAATCTACTTCATTGATCAATCATTTATCTGTTATGTTTTGTAAGACATCAAAAACTGAAAATAACATAATTTACAATTTATTACGTTCAGGTTTATGGCAAATAGATCGTGCAAATGCTTTACGAATAAAAATTAACTAGACAGACCACTTCTCTGCTCGATCTGCATCATTTGTCCTATATATATGACGTCGCGTTCTAGATATTTTTGCTTCTGGTAAGGCTATTGTTATATTTTTCTGGTCCTACGGGATCATTAATGCCAGCACTATTGAGTGTTGAGAATTGAGTACCGCTCAAGTCGGTGCTTGGGGGTGTGACAGATGTTGCACATATGGGATATTCATCATCCCTAATGTACAGACTCAATCAAACTGAGTCTGCAATTCTCTTGTAATTTTGGTGTGATTAATGCTTCCGAGGGATCAATTTGTTTCCAGATTTTTATACTTCACAACAGTAGGTGTCAAGTGCTGTGTAGCAGCTGTAAAAAGTTGCCCCGTACTTCACTTCAGTGTTGTTATATTTTTCCGATCCTTCGGGATCATTGATGCCAGCACTATTGAGTGTTGAGAATTGAGTACCACTCAAGCCGGTGCTAGGGGGGCGTTAGGGATGCTGCACATATTCATTATCCCGCATGTACAGACTCGAGCAAACCCAGTCTGCAATTCTCTTGTAATTTTGTTGCGATTAATGGTTCCAAGCGGTACAAGTTAACCCGGCCCCAAATTGGTCAACCCGGCCCCAAACCAATGTTATTTCTGGTCAACCCGGCCCCATTTTCCATTTTGGGGCCGGGTTGACCAATTTTGAGGCCGGGTTGACTTGGGGCCGGGTTGACTGTAATTCGTTCCGAGGGATCACTTTGTTTCCAGATTTTTGACCAAGCCTGTAAGGTCTGATATATTGAACCGTAAACGATTTTGAAGCAGTAAAATATAGCAAATTATGTACTGTTGAAAAACCACGGGATGCCGTTTTAAAGATTAACATTATTTATCAAATTTACAAGATTAAACAGTGAATATGTCTACTAATTTAATTTCTAATTTCATTGTTAAAAGACATTTACTTAGAGAAAATGTAATCTCACCTTTGTTCGTTCTTGAACTTCATATTTGAACAATTTTAACAGAAAATCTTGACATTTTTCAATACGATTGTTATTTTCAAATTTTACTACATGCCTCGTTTTCGATTTTGTGGTACTAAATAACCAATCAAAACACTTCATGGGTTTCCCGTAAATTGACGAAGATTTCCGGAAATGACCGGAATGTAACGTAAGGGTTACACTAAGCTGCTCCCGAATTTGCTGACGTTGTGGGATATAACGGAGGACTACATGTATAATTATAAAGATGTACAATTTTTATAGGATTTATATTATACAATGTCTTCCTTATAAAATTCTATCTTAAATATTAGAACAGAAATATTTTATATTTGGCCGGAGGCCATTTGTTACTGTAAAATGAATTTACAGGGAAGAACTGAATATATGTAATTTAAAACTGGCCATTGTAAAATAAGTAAATTAACATAAAGGATTTATCTGAAATGGTATACGCGTCCCATTTTTAATTAGTCTAAAAGAGCTCTGGAAACGAACTATGTACATTCATAATTTCAGATTTAACCATGCATTCTCCTACACATGATTCTATATTATTACAATGCGACCACCTACTGATTATTACTTTAATGAGTTATCAATTTTATCAAATATTGACGAAACCACCATTTACAATTACGTTCACGACCCCGTTTACTCATGCGCATGACAATAACGAAAACATACAAGAAAACGAACTTGTCCGGTATTGTAAAATGGATACAAAGTTTATAATTTTCACGTTTCTTTTACATATAAATGAAGTATTCATTTAACCGGTCCTACTAAACACTGCTAATTAATTACTGCTAAGGACCACTAAGGACTGCTAAGGAGCCACAAAGGACTACTAGGGAGGCACAAAGGACCTTGAATACCTCCTAGGGCATTCTTATAATACATGGTAGTATGTTTCGTGAAAAAAAAATAATTTTAAGAAAAAATATTATTTGGGTGAAAATTTGATGAGTTGCCGGACCGCTAAGGACTGCTCAGACACACAAAAGACTGCTAGGGAGGCACAAAGGACCTTAGAAAAACCTCCTAGGGCATTTTTATAGCGAGCTGTCTTTTGTGCCTCCCTAGCAGTCCTTTGTGCACCTGCATGCACAGTCCTTAGCGGTCCTGCAACTCATCGAAAGCATAAATTCTATCACAAAAATTATATTTTTTCTTAAAATAATACATTTTTGTCTATTAACTTACTACCATATATTATAAGAATGTACTAGGAGGGATTTCAAGGTCCTTTGTGCCTCCTTAGCAGTTCTTAGTGCACCTGAGCAGTCCTTTGCGGTCCGGCAACTCATCGAAAACATAAATTTTATCACTAAAATTATATTTTTTCTTAACATAATACATTTTTGTCACTAAACATACCACCATGTATTTTAAGCATGCCCTAGGAGGTATTTAAAGGTCCTTTGTGCCTCCCTTGGAAATATTTTAAGGTCATTTGTCCCTCCCTAGAAGTCCTTTGTGCACCTGAGCGTTCCTGCAACTCATCGAAAACATAAATTCTATCACTAAAATTATATTTTTTTCTGAAAATAATACATTTTTGTCTATTAACTAACTACCATATATTATAAGAATGTTATAGGAGGGATTTTAAGGTCCTTGTGCCTCCCTAGCAGTTCTTAGTGCACCTGAGCAGTCCTTAGCGGTCCGGCAACTCATCAAAAACATAAATTTTATCACTAAAATTATATTTTTTCTTAACATAATACATTTTTCGTCACTAAACATACTACCTTGTATTATAAGAATGTCCTAGGAGGTATCTTAAGGTTCTTTGTGCCTCCCTAGCAGTTTTTTTTGTGTATCTGAGCAGTCCTTAGCGGTCCCGCAACTCATCAAATTTTCACCAAAATAATATTTATTCTTATCTGAAACAGAATGTAGTAGAAAATAAACTTCAACGAAATTTGGATGCCATAGATCGACGGTGCAATTTTAACAATATGTTAATCCATCTAAATAAAACAAAATGCATGATATTATGTACGAAACAAAAAGTTATTACTGTAATGAACTTACTTTATGTATTGCAAACTAAAATAGAAAATGTAAAAATACAAAAAAAATCATTAAGTGTTATAGTATTGATAATAACATGTCACAGGATTACCAAATTGAAGAACTTTGTTCAAAACTTAACTCAAAAATAACATTATTGAGGCGTATATCTTATTATTTGACAGATGAAATGAAACAGGCTTTTTATAATGCATTTATAATGTCGAATTTTGATTGTTTCTGTACTGTTTGGAGCAAAGGAAATATAAGATTTGCAATGATTATCTTAAACAAAACATCACGAATAAGAAATCAAGATATACTGAAAGAACTTGGGTGGATGTCGTTCAACGAATTTAATTTTTGAACTGGAATTCCTATTTATAAAGCTTGTAATAACCTAGTCCCATCTTATATATCTGAAATTTTAACTTTTTTCAGCAACGAAATTCATTATTTAAGATCAGCATCACATAATGACATAGATGTACCTAAACACCGCACAAACTATGGTAAAAAACAGTTTTGTCACAATGGTGCAAAGATTTGGAATAGAACACCATGTATTACTTCTTTTAATTCTCTGACATCTTTTAAAAATAAGTATAAAAAAAACAACATATCTTGCAGATCAAATAAATATCTTCAAAACCCACATGTCATTATGTTATAATAATTATTAGGCATGTATATTTTGTTAAAATATCTTTAAATTAAAATTGTACAAATAATATTTATTATCTAAAAGGAGTGTTTGTCATAGGACAAAATCTTAATGGAATAGTTAACTGTTGTTATTGTTTTTATGATGTTTTGTGTTTCTATATATTGTTTAGGAGGCCACATTTAAAATTAAGATAATTATCTACGATGGTATATCTTCATGTGTTACCTTCTGTAAATAATTGTTATTATTATTATTATTATTATTATAATTATTAAATATTTTATATTGAATTTACTCCCGCTGGTCCATTTTCATGTTAACACCTTTTTAAATCGAAATGTACACGTTGCATTCTATAAAAATAAAATTTGATCCGTATATATATGATCAGCACATAACACGTGTATAATGATTATCATTCGTACTAGTTGAACGTCTTTATTTATTGTAAAGCTACCCTTCTGTGGTCAGTGTATGTATGTAATGATAAATATTTGTTTAGATTACTGGACATTTTTATAGTATTAGAATGGTTATAATCGAATTGTATGGAATACTTTATTTATATTTAAAACACAATACTTTAAGCCTTAAAGTGTTTTTCATTGAAATGATCAAACATACACGCATTTTATAAAGTACTTTAACTTTTTATCTTCAAAGAAAACATAAAAATAAAGTAGTGTACCGTACAATTATAATAAACAGTACAAGCAAAGGTATACATTGGAATCGGAAAATAAATAAATAAATAAATAAATAAATAAATAAAACTCATACATTTAATACAAATTGTAGCCAACCTTTTTTGTTTGTTTTTGCTTTTCAAAATATCACATGTATATGAGAAAGTAGATATCATTTAATGAAAGGAGCCAAACAAGATGGAATTGGGGTTACTTGAGGAGAAGAATGGCGCAAAAGGGATGGGGGCTGTACATTATTGCGTCACAACTTTGAATATACTTTAAAAAAGAAGCTGAAACTGTATCAATGGAAAATGTTAAATTGTACACCAGTGATATGTACTTTTTAACACGAATATTATATTGCATGTATATGCATATAATTTATTAAAGATGAAGGTAAAAATGCACTTGAAAAATAGAAAGCGGACACTGGCAATCTTAATAAACATTGTCCGAACAAGTTTCGCAAGAGTTTAAATTAATTTTCAATAAATACTAAATGAAAATAGTATACTAATCGGAAAATATGGTTTTTGAGTTTATACACAAATTATCACTGTACACAATTATCTTGAAAATGTCACCCTAAAATTTCCTACTATAATATGAGGAAAGAGAATTAGGGAAAGTGTTCAGGTTTATTCTATCTGTTCATTACAATTTCACTGTATGTAGAGCCTTATTGGTTATTTATAACAAATATGACACTTCATGAATTTAAACATGACCATTTATAATCGGATTATGACCGCTTATCACATATGAGGAACAGTAACTTTTATATATACTTTGCGAAAGTTGTATATGAATTTCATGAAGTGTTAGCCATTAACGTTATATAAAATGTCAAATAACACTACTTTAACAATTCAGCAAGCCGGCAGCCTCATCTTAAGTGAGCCATATCTTCTTTGGTTGGAGAAAGATGTATTTCCTTTTATATTTGGAACTACTTGCCTTCTCATAATTCTTACTGGTATCATATTTAACATAGCCACACTCAAAATGTTCTGGAATGATGATCACGTGGGGATAAGAAGAACAGTCTACCTATGTGTGTTTGTAGATGTTCTAGCAGTGATGTTTGTTTTGGCTCCTGGAATGTACATATCGTTTTCCAAATTAGATGATATCCCAATAGTCTACTGTCGTATAAATGGAGTGTTTAACCTATCAACGACTTTGATACAATTCGGAATACTCTCTTACGGACTAGTAGTGTCTTTTATCACTCTTCTACAAGGCACATTTAAAACGGAATTTCACACAAGATGCAAACATGTCTGTTCATTTGTTGGAATTAGTGTATTTTATTTCAGTTTTGTACTGATCCCAATAAATTGGAACGATGGGTATTCATATCTACCAAGTGAATACCTTTGTGGACCTAATAGATCTTTACAGAAGGCGTACATTAATGTTACTTTCGTGATAGGTTTGATGCCGCCATTTTTCCTGACATTCGTTGTATCATTTGCTCTTATTAAAAAGTTACTCTTAAAGAACAAACGAGTTTCTGAGATCCCACATTCTGGATCAAAAGGTGCGATTTTAGAAGAAAATCCAACCTCGTCAGATGAAAAATTGCAGGTGTCTATCGGTATACGGAACCGATTTAAATCAGATGAAACTGTCAGCATAGAAGATCAGACAAGATCTTACGATATACATGAAGATGATGATGTACAGAGTAAGCGTAATCGATTCAAGTCAGA